TGACAGATTTCTCTCTACCTCTTTCTCTTTCTCTTTTCATTTTCCTCACTCTCTCACTCTTAATAATGGTTCTATCTCTCTCCATCTCTCTATTTCTGATTGTTCCTTTTCTTCCCCCTCTTTCTTAATTCCCCCATCTCCTCCTCTCACCTAATCTGTAATATCTTTTTCTCTTTTTGCTATCTTCCTGGTTTCTCCAGTTGTGTCTCTTCCTTCCTCCCTCTCCTGCTCCATTTTCCTCTCACACTTTCACCATGTACTCTTGTGTGCGTATTGTGAGTGTGAGTGTACGCATGTCTGTGTGAGAGTGTACACGTGCAAGTCTGCTTTCTCTTCCCACACTGACGCATAATGTAATGGATTGAACCTTGAAAGTGGAGTCAAAGGTAGATAGGATAGTGAAGAAGCTGTTTGGTATGCTTACCTTTGTTGGTCATTGCACTGAGTATAGGAGTTGGGAGGTTATTGCGTGGCTAAACAGGACATTGGTTAGGCCACTTTTGGAACACATCATGCAATTCTGGTCTCTCTCCTATAGGAATGATGTTGTGAAAGTTGAATGTGTTCAGAGAAGATTTACAAAGATTTTGCCAGGGTTGGAGGTTTTGAGCTATAGGGAAAGGCTGAATAGGCTGGGGGGAGCTATTTTCCCTTGAGTGTTGGAGCCTGAGGGGTAAACTCATAGAGATTTATCAAATCATGAGGGACACAGATAAGGTAAATAGGGACAGTCTTTTCCCTGGGATGGGGTCGTCCAAAAAAAAGGCATAGGTTTAAGGTGAGAGGGGTTTAAAAGGGATTTAAGGGGTAACTTTTTTTTTATGCTGAAGGTGATGTGTGTATGGAAGGAGATGCCAGAGGAAGTGGGAGAGGCTGGTACAATTACAACAGTTAAAAGGCATCTGGATGGGTATGTGAATAGGAAGGGTTTAGAGGGATATGTGCCAAATGTTGGCAAATGGAACTAGGTATATTAAGCCTATCTGGTCTGCATGGACAAGTTGGACTGAAAGGTATGTTTCTGCGCTGTACAGCTCTATGATTCTATAACTCTATGAACCCATGGTATTGGACACGCAACATCAAGAGCTTCTGCACTGTCCCTGTAAACAGGCAGTGAGCTCTTGGCTCATATTCAGCACCAACGCATTCTTTGCAACTTAATTGAAGGGTGTCAGACAGGTTGGTGATTGGCAACAGGACAGTTTTGCTTCTTAGGTAAATATTTAACAAACCAGGAATTGACTGTAGACAAGAAGCCTGGGCTGAAACTGGCAAGGAACATTTGCACTATACAAATGCTAAGCAATGACCATCTTGATAAGAGACTATAGAACTGCCTCTTGATACTCAATGGCATTACCATCATTGAATGCCCCCACTAGCAACATGCTCAAGGATACCTTTGAGAGAGAACCTAATTATCACCTCTTGGCATTCAGTGGCATTATCATATTTGAAATCCCTCACGATTAACATCTTGGGGATTACCATTGAGAGGGAATCTAATATTGCTCCTCGACATTCAATGGCATCACCATTACTGAAAGCCCCACTTTCAACATCGTGGGGGCTTTCATTGAGAGAGAATCGAACCATAACCCGTTGACATTCAATGGCATTACCATCATTGAATTCCATCACGATTAAAAACCTAGAGTTTACCATTGACCAGAAATTGGACTCACCAAATTAGTACAGTTCCTACAAGGGCAGGTCGGAGGCTGGAAATTCTGCAGTGAGTAACTCACCTCCTGACTCTCTCCCTAAAGCCTGTCCACCATCGACAAGGCACAAGTCAGGAGTGTGATGGAATCTCTCTATTTGCCTGGATGAGTGCAGCTCCAACAATACTCAGGAAGCTCAACACTATCCAGGAGAAATCAAACTGCCTGAAGGACACCACATCCAACAAGCATTCTTGAAACCAGGCCTCTTAGTTAGCAACAAACACAAAGTGAAATTGCTGGAGAACTCTGCCAGTCTGGCACCATCTGTGAAGGAAAAAAAGAGTGTATGTTTCTGGTCCACATCCATAAGTATCCACTCCCTGCACTATTGATGCTCAGTCATAGCAATGTATACCATCTATAAAATGCACTGCGTAAATTCACCAAATATCCTCAGACAGTGTCTTCCAAACCAACAACCACTTCCATTTAGAAGGACAAGGGCAGCAGATACATGGGGACAGCAAGTCCTACAGATTCCCCTCCAAGCCACTCGTCAATCTGACTTGGAAATATATCACTGTTCCTTCACGTTTGCTGGGTCAGAATCCTGGAATTTCCTCTGTAATGACACTATGGATCTACCTATATGAACATGAAATGCAGTGGTTCAAGAAAGCAGCTCCCTATGATCTTCTCAAGGGGCAATTAGGAATCGGTGATAAATGCTGGATCCACGCATGAATAAAAGGTAAACATTTAAACATCTGAGGCAGTTAGATATCTCAGGGAGAGAGAGGGAGGGAGGGAGAGAGAGATTTTGAGGGACAACATGAGGAGAAGACGGCGAAGCAGAGAGAAAATCAACTCGTGAAACTGCAGAAGACTTCAGGAAAGAGAAAGAGAGATATAGTCAAAAAACAGATAGAGAGGGTGCAGATGTGGGAGGAAGGAGAGAGGAAGAGAGATTCAGAGAGAAGGATGTGAGCATAGGTAGAAACAGGTAGGGAGAGAGATAGAGATAGGTAGATGTAAGAATGGGCCGAAGGGCTAAATGCTAATGATGATATTCAACAGCTGCACAGGATAATAGATTGTACAGGATGGGAAAATAGGCTGAGAAAGTTTAGAATCATGCCTAACAAACTGTGTGACCTTGAATGAGACCTGTGAACATTCCTTTATGAGCCAAATATGACACCTGCACTTGTTTTGCCATCCTGTGTTGTCTGTGCCAGCCAGCAGTTTTGTCTATCGTATATGGTGTTTTCTTTACTGGCTGTTTGTGATACTGTTCGAGAGACAGAGTTTTGTTCCAAACTGCTGCAGCCGCTGCTGCTACTATTACTGCTGGACTTCACCTCGGCTCAAAATTGTGAACAATACCAGGAACGAATCTAAGCCTCCAGGCCAGCCACCGATTGAAGTGTCCCTGATAGGCAGAAGAACATGAGACTTGTTGCTTTTTCTAGAAAGGTGTGAGAATTGTTGCTTCTTTTACCCCTCTTTTCCATTTATTATTACCAATATAACCATTTATTATTGCCATTGTAATCATTTATTATTACTTAATAAACATTCATATCTAAGCACGTTGCTGTTGTTGATTTGTCTCTTAATTATATTTACCCAAATCCACTCTGAGCACCTTTGTTGAGCTCTGACAGCCAGACGCTGCCAATGGCATCTGGTGGCAAAACCTCTTCTGGTAGTTCCTTCCTGCATCCAACAACACAAGCCAAAATGAAGGCTTGAAGCTAATTTTGATATGCATAAATTCAGGGAGATCAGCCAGAACACACAAAGGTTGGGCTCAGCCACATTAAACTAATGGATGTGGAAGGAAATTGTCTTTCTGATCTGGATGGGCAACAAACACTGGGGTCCTTGGTCTCAGAGCCTAGGCATTGGTCAGTGAGTGACTGGTGGCTCTTGTTGGTGACCCACATCTTTGACTGGGCCTTGCCAATGGGCACAGAAAAGCACAAAGTGATACACTTGGAGATGTGTGTATCTTTGGGGGCATAGATTCACAGTTGAGTAAAAACAACATGTGCCTTTCTCTCCTGCAGCCTCAATGAACCCGCTCCCCTCTGGCTGGCAGAGAAGGATGAAGGAGAATCGGCGAAGGAGAGTCCTCTTCCCGTTCAACCCAACCTTTAGAATGGAAACTTGTTCACCTCCTGGCCACTGGGGGATGTTCACACTCTCCGCATGGACCTCAACACCATCTCAATGATAGAAGCCTTTCAAAGTCACATGGGATATTGGGAGGAGAGACTGTCATTGTTCTATCCACTGCATGGCCCCCTCCATCACCTGGATATGTTAGGACACACCTCTAGACTAAATGGAATTGGAAATTGCTGGAAAAACTCAGCAAGTCTGGCAGCAACTGTGTACAGAAAACAGAGTTAATGTCTTGGGTCCACATTCAAAAACATCTACTCCCACCACCACTGATGTACAGTAGCAATATTGTGTACCATGTAGATTATGCACTGCAGAAAATCACCAAATCTCTTTAGAGTTCTCCTTACAAAGCCAAGATAAGATGAATTGTCAGAGGTCTGTCAAGGAATATAGGATGGTCTGAGAGGATTATGCATAAGGAATATGCCACACTCTGATTTAAGAGATTGCAGTTAAATTAAATGCCAATAGCACCACATGGGTGCCCAGATTAGAGATTCCAGATTGGTTTGGACTCTTTCTCATTTGGCACAATGACTGTACCCAACAAGAGAAGTATGTCCTCAAAGTGAAGGCAACATTTCATCTTCACCAGGACTGAGTGGTGTTCACTTCTACCAATGATGACATGGGCAGATGTATTCAAGGCAGGAAGATTTGTAAGAAGGAAGGCAAGGATATTTTTCCCTTTCTGCTGTTTCCCTCACCAGGAACTGCAGGAAGACTTAGGCTTTCAAACCTCGATCAATTCAACCAGTCGTGGAACTGCTGAGACTTTCGTGGTGATGGAGATTCAAGACCAAAAACCAGAATGGATTAGGAGTGCTGGGTCCTCTCCTCCAGTTTATCACTGTTGTTTAATATTGAAGAGGACAAGACCATCAGCTGAAGGAGGGTGATAGGTGGGAATCAGCAGGAAGATTCCTTTACCATATCTTCTATAACGACAGGGCATACCTGGGGATGGTGACAGATGGATCTGACTGAAAGGTATGATGCTGTCAGGATGGCAATTTTGGAGCTACAAGATATGGATGATTCTGCCTGTTTCTGACCTTCCCTCCCTCTGATCAAATGAACGAAAAATGTGGGTCATGGACAAGAGGCAATGCAATTAATTTTATTGACATGGTTCAGAAAGCAATAGGACAGGGGTCATTGGATCCACACAAGGAAACACAGACGATCTACAGAGATGATGGTTAGCATCAGTTGGTGCCTCAGATGGGTCTCATTTTAGAATTTTTTCGCTGTATGTCCATTTTCTCTTGCAGCAGTATAGCCCGATGGTACAAATCCCATTGTAAGGGATTTCATGCGGATCACAAGGAGATCGCTTGCAAGTTCCTCCGCGGAATCCACAAGAGTTGAATAGGCCTGTGAAACAGAAAGGAATAGTTCAATGATGTCCCCAGACAGCATGCCAACAAACCAAGAAATAAGCCCACCAGAACTGTATCCAGTACTGCTAGTGTTGTCCAATCAAGCAAATTGAAATGAGAACTACACACAGATATAGATATAGAATATCCTTAATCACAGTGCTTGCAGTGTAGACTTACCACTGAATATGGAGATCAGAACTGTACCCAATGCTTGTAGTGTGGTCCAATCAAGGAGATGGAGACCAGACTGTGCATTGTGCTCCCAGTGTGGACTTACCCACGGATGTAAAGATCAGAACAGTGCCCAGTGCTCCCAGTGTTACCTTATCTATGAAGATAGAGACTAGAACTGTCTGCAGTGCTTCCAGTGTGGTCACTGAGAGATATTGAGACAGAAACTGTACCCAGTGACACCAGTGTCATTGAACCAAGGGATGTCAAGTCCAGAACTGTGAACAGTTCTCCTAGTGTGGTGTTACAAAGGGAGATCGAGACCATCTCTACGCACAGTAGGCAAAGTGTTGTCTAACTAACGGACATGGGGAAAAGAACTGTGTACACTGCTCCCAGTATGGTCTAAACAAGGGAATAGGGACCAGAAATGTGCACAGTGCTCCTACTGTGACATAACCAAGGGGCTTGCAGCCCAGCTCTGTGCACAGTCCTCTCAGTTGCATGTAACAGAGGGATATATGGAGACAAGAATGGTTCACAGTGTTTCCATGTTGTCTTACCAAGGGAAATTGAAACCATCCCTGCTCAGTGTTCTAAGTAGTGTCTCTCTGAGTGATATAGGGATCAGAACTGTGCACAATGCTTCCAGTGTGACTTAACCAATGGATATGGAGACGAGCTCTGTGCATGGTGTTCCATGTATTGTGTAACAATTGATTTGGAGATAGAAACTATGCGCTGTGCTCCAAATGTGCTCTAATGGAGAGATATAGAGAGAAGAACTTCTTGCGTTCCTCCAAATGTGCTTGATCTATGCTGTCTTAGCACAAGAAACTGTGAACATCAGAATGACACAACTGAAATCAATCTCTGAATGCGTATATCCCACCATGCAGCACAGGAACACAATGGAAAATTTCAGACAAAAATAAACAAGAAATGTATGAACAGATTTCCAAACACTTTCGTAAAGTGTTTCGGTTCAAGGACTGTTTAAAGGACAAGAGAATTGACTGTGTTTATACAGAGATAATTCCACAGCTCTTAGCCCAGGCAGCTGAAGAAACTCCCAATAATGGCAGACTGTTTGATCTCTTGGAATTCATCAGAATTAGAAGGGTGTGGGTATCTGGAACTGTTATTGGGGACTGGATAAGATTGCAGAGATCAGGAGGGGCGAGTCAAAGAGAAATTTGAAAATTTGTCCCTGTTCAATGTGTGAATGAAGCAATTAAGGACAGCTCCTTTGTGGATAGCTTTTAAGTGTGGATAAATAGAAAATTAAACTGAACAGCTCTTTGAAAATTCTCCAAAATGAGGTGATAACTCTTCATTCGGAACTGGCAGGAAGGGGTTCAGCCCCAAACTGGGGTGATTGAATGAAGGTAAAAGAAATCAGTCAAAATTCAATTGCAAAACATCACATGCTTGAGGAGTTGAATAGCCTCTTCCTGTACCTGTGAATGGTTCTACAGTTAACTTTCACAGAGATGTACTAACCAGAAAAAAACCTTGGCCTCGATTCTCCATCGGCAGTGATAGGCTCGACGAGTACCAGGTTGATTAGCAGCAAAAGCAGTGCTTTCATCTTTCTCTGCAGAGTCCTTCAGAATCTTGGTGAGATGACTGGAACATGGAGGCTCTTTATAGGAAATAAGAGACTATCTGTAGTTAATAATTACAGATGAACATTGAGGATTGGATCCATCTTGAGCTTATTATAAAGACATTTCACTAACTGAGACCAAATGTAACTGGAATCAAAGAGTAAGCGTTTCTGTTAATCAGTTATTTATCAGTGAACAGAGAGACCTAACTGGTTGAAGTGGTGAAGGTTTAAAGACAATGTTCACACAGGCTAAGCAGGTATTGTTTTGTAGTTAAGGAAACCACTTGGCCTGCAGTTCCTCTGCTGGCTCTTTAAGTTTTGTCACAAAGAGCTAGCAGTGGCATACTGGGCCGTATGGCCAGGTTTTCCTCTGTTTTAATGCTTTTTCTACCTCATAAATTAGAACTTAATTCTTAAATTCAAATTATCAGCACTGCATGCTGATGCTTCAGTGCAAAATGCTCCATTACATTGAACAAAGACAAAATGGTGTGCATCAAGCCATTTCAATCTGGTATCTGACTTGTCCTGTGTGAACTGAAGCTACAAGCATGAGATTATTAAAGAATAGACTGGGACTTCACATTTAGTCACTGCTCCCAGTTCCTGCTGCCCATGGTGTGAGAACTGTCCCTTTAGCCATTCCAAGTTGGGACCAATCTCAATGAGCCTGGGGTGATTATTATCTACAGTGCACTCTGTGCACTTCTCATGAGCTTCTGTGCTCCAGGATCCCATTGTGGCTGTGATAAGAGAAAAGAATGAGGAAGGTGCAGTCTGTTCTCCTTGGGTGCCTGACCCTGAGGTGCTGGTGTGGCTCATTATTGCTGATTGAGTTGTGCCTTTGGTTGATCTTGCTGGACGTGAGTATATCTCTGTGTACAATCGATAAGAACATCCTGAGAAAGGCAGGAGGCCATTCAGGTCTTCACACCTGTGCAATATAGAATATTATTATGGTTAATACACTTTTAAAACCTCAATGTCCTCTCCCCTTTGTCTCCATTGTTATCTGCAGCTCAAAAATCCTCCCTGATATTGGTACTCCTCCAATTCTGGCTTCTTGCCCATTCCCAGATTTTACCCAATTCACCATTGGCGGCCATGCCTTCAGCTCCCTGGGACATAATCTGCAGATCTCCTACCATCACAATATCCCTCTCTCTCTCCTCTTTAAAGCCCATCCATAATGCCTTCCTCTTTAATAAAGTATTTGGTCTCTTGCCCCTAATATCTGCTTTAGTGATTCAGTATGAAATTAATTTTCATTATTTTCCCAGTATGAATCATTTTGAGACATTGTAACTTAATCAAGAATGATTTGATTTGTCTCAATCCCCTTTTTGACACCTATGTCTCATGTAACTTGAGTAGAGCAGACTTGGAGCACCCATCTGCACCTGATATATTTTTGGTAGATCCAAGGAAGAGCACTGTGTACTCTTATGGTCCCATTCTACCTTGGGTAGACCACACTAGGAGCAGTGTGCACTCCTCAGAACCCAATCTACATTAGGCAGACTACATTGGGGGCACTGGCAAGACCTCATGTCCCAACTTACCTTCGGTAGACTATACTGGGAACACTATTCATTTGTTTGGATCACAACCTACCTTGGGAAGACCACACTGGCAGCACTGTCCTATCTCCTGGTCCCAAGCTACCTAAGAAAGACCACATTTGGAGAACTGTGCACTCTTCTGGTTCCAATTTACCTTGGATAGATCACAGTGGGAGTACCACACAAGCATCTGTCTCCTAAATACATGGGGAAGACCACACTGGGAACACTTTACCTAATGCATCAACATATTTCCCAGCCAGATAAGAGTGTATTGAAATGCTCCTGACTGTTGTGTTTAACGTGCTTTTCATTTCTGTCCCCCAGCATTAATTATGAGCACCTACGAGGAGAATGAAGGAAGATATTTTTTTCGCTACATGTAACGACAATGAGAAACCAAGTAATATGCAATGTTAGAATTGTGATGATCATTGCACCAAATAATGAGTGGCACAACACAGAATGTGAGGCCCTGTGTGGTCCCTCTGACCATCTGAGTTACTCTGATAGTAATTTTTGTCATTCAGGCACTGCTAGATTGGGTGGATCCCTTGCCCCTTGAATGATGTGCATAAAGCTTGCTGCAATAAATATCGCCTCTTGTCTGTCTCTGCTTTATAAAGGGGATTGACATGTCTCTATACAAACAGAGAGGGAGCTCAGAAATTCTCAGGGTCCCATTGACACATTACAGCTCCAATTAATCGTTGTTACAGAATCATACTTTACTGCTGATGTATTAGCCTTGTCCATCACCATCCCTGGGGATGTCCTGTCATTAGTGCAAACTTGATTGATTAGAAATAGTCAGCATGGCTTTGTGAGGGGTAGGTCATACCTCATAAGCCTTATTGAACTCTTTGAGGATGTGACAAAACACATTGATGAAGGTAGAGCAGTGGATGTGGTGTGTATGGACTTTAGCAAGGCATTTGATAAGGTTCCACATGGTAGGCTCATTCAGAAAGCAAGGAAGCATGGGATTCAGGGAAATTTGGCTGTCTGGATACAAAACTGGCTGTCCAATAGAAGACAGAGGGTGGTAGTAGATGGAAAGTATTCAGACTGGAGCTCGGTGACCAGAGGTGTTCCACAGAGATCTATTCTGGGACCTTTGCTCTTTGTGATCTTTATAAATGACTTGGATGAGGAAGTGGAAGGCTGGGTTAGTAAGTTTGCCGATGACAAGAAGGTTGGTGGAGTTGTGGACAGCGTGGAGGGTGTTGTAAGTTGCAATGGGACATTGACAGGATGCAGAAATGGGCAAAAAAGTGGCAGATGGAATTCAACCCAGAAAAGTGTGAAGTGATTCAATTTGGAAGGTCGATTTTGAATGCGGAATACAGGGTTAATGGCAGGATTCTTTGGCAGTGTGGAGAAACAGAGAGATCTTGGGGTCCACGTCTATAGATCCCTCAAATTTGCTACACAAGTTGATAGGCTTGTAAAGAAGGCGTATGGTGTGTTGGCTTTCACTGGCAGGGGAATTGAGTTTAAGAGCCGTGAGATTATGCTGCAGCTCTATCAAACTCTGGTTAGACCACACGTGGAATATTGTGTTCAGTTCTGGTCACCTCATTATAGGAAAGATGTGGAAGCTTTAGAGAGGGTGCAGAGGAGATTTACCAGGATGCTGCCTGGACTGGAGGGCAGGTCTTATGAGGAAAGGTTGCGGGAGCTAGGGCTTTTCTCATTGGAGCAAAGAAGGATGAGAGATAGCTTGATAGAGGTGTACAAGATGATGAGAGGCATAGATAGAGTGGATAGTCAGAGACTTTTTCCCAGGGTGAAAATGGCTATTATGAGGGGGCATAATTTTAAGGTGATTGGAGGAAGGTATAGGGGAGATGTCAGAGGTAGGTTCTTCACACAGAGTGCAGTGGGCATGTGGAATGCGCTGCTAGCAGTGGTAATGGGGTCAGATACTTTAGCGACTTTTAAGTGACTCTTGGATAGGCACATGGAGGATAGTAAAATGTAAGGTATGCAGGGTAGATTGATCTTAGTAGGATAATAGGTTGGCACAACATCTTGAGCCAAAGGACCTGTACTGTGCTCTACTGTTCTATGTTCTTTTCCCGCTGAGTACCAACTGCCTCACTCCCTCAGCCAAGAAACCTGCCCTCCTCCTGATAAACATCACTCAGAGCAAGTACTGAGTTTTAACAAGGGCATTGGCTAAAGGGATATTACTGTGCCTCAAAGAGGGTGTCCTGGTCAGAGCACGGCCCACTGAGGTCTGAGGGAGAAACATTGCCTCTGCCAGTTTTGAGTGAGGACCAGCATGAGGCAGAGACCTATTTGACGTCGTCCAACCTTCATACCTTTGTGAATGACAGTACCGGCGAGGATGGACTGCTTGAAGTATTGGTGAAGATGAAGTCTCATCATCTTCACAGGGAGGATGCACTCATCGTGCTGTGTGGAAATGCCAAGCAGGACAGGTTCAGGACACATTTCAGAGGTGGGACATTCAGTAACCAGTAGAAACAGAGTCAAGAGAATTGAAGGAAGAATTAGTCTGGAGATGAGGAGAATTTCTTCTGACCTGTAGAATCATAGGAGTATAGGACCATACAGTCCAGAAAAAGTCCATCAACCCATTGAATCTGTACTATCAAAATACCCCACTACCTACACAAGTCCTGGACTAGGCTCACAGACAGTTGTGTCATCTGGAATGTGATGCTTGGAAGGACAATGGATACAAATTCAGCAGAAACTTAAAAATAAAAGAATTGTATTAATAATTGATAGGGAAAAGAACAGCCAGATTTATCCCATTCCACTTTTCTTTTGGTTTTAGTTATTGCCTGTCAAAGTGAGTGAACGATCCCTTTAACAAATTGAATTGGAGCCAACTTTCTGTCTCTCTCGGGGGGTGGGGGGGAGGTGTGTGTGTGTGTGTGTGTGTGTGTGTGTGTGTCTGTGTGTGTGTGTCTGTGTGTGTGTGAGAGAGAGAGAGAGAGAGAGATAAAGAGAGAGAGAGATAGAGAGAGAGAGAAACTTTTAATGACAGAATATAAAGAGCTGTCTTTCAGCGAGCACATGCAGCAACGAAGACTTCAGCAGAGAATGACGAAAGACCTGCTTTTTCTCCTTGGAATCCTGGTGTTGTTGCAGCCCATCACTGTTGGAGGAGGAATGAGTGCAAGATACTTTATTTGATGTGAGTGTATCTCTGTATCTACAGGGATGTTCAGTGGAAGAGGTGGAGACCATCCAACATTCTCACATCCTATGGTGACATTCACGTAAATTGAGTCTAAATATACATCCTAATCTGACCAGCAATCTTTGTCCAGTAATCCTTAAAACGCGAGCCTCATGCAAGTCATCAATCACAGTGTTGAAAGTTCCAATATGATTGTTAATCATCCGGCTCCACCTCATACCCACCAAGGAGTTAGACTTACCTGTTGAGTATTTCCCATCTCCTGGTGATATCAGGGATGAATCAAATACATCTTTTCAAATCCCTTCCCGGCCTCTCTCTCCTGTCTTTTTAATTTCCTCCTTCGCAGGTAACCACTTTCAGAAAAGCTCTGTGTTCTCCCACTTGGAGTTTCAGGTCCAATCTGAGACTAAATCTACTCACAATCAGCAGCCATGCCCTCCAGCTGCTTGGGGACTAAGCTTTGGCCTTCACTGAATCATTCTCTCCACCCTTCTTTCCTCCTTTATGTTTGTCCATAATACCCCCTTCTCTCACGGATCAAGCTTTTGGTTGCCCCTCCAGAGCTCCTATTTCTTATGATCTTGAAATCTCACAAGGTCCCTACTGGCAAAAAGAAATTGGACTTCCTCCCAAGTGATTTGGAGATTATATTTGTCCATCTAACTGCGAGAGAGGAAGTTTCGGAACCCCAGAAATTATGAAAAGATCAGTAATGGATGGAAGATGATGAAAATTTATTTTTGAATGATGAGTTGCTAAGAGTGGGAAAGTGCTGACTGAAAGGACACTCAACACAGGGTTTAATTGCTGCATGTGACACTGGGGACTTAGGGGTGGAGTGGGTTGGAATTGCCAGGGTGAGGATGGTGGTAAAAAAGCCAAGATTTGACTTTCAGGGTTGGAGATTCCTCCCTGCGTCTTATCATTTAACAAATTCACCCATTCATGTGATGGGGTCTGTCGTCAATATCCTTAGCTGCTCTCTGAACATCCTCTTGGATCATGGCATAATTATAGACATTGGTGCAGCAAATTGTTAGCTGTATCATGAAGCCCATTTCACCTAGAAAACGATGCAGGTATACAGACCTGTATCTGAAATGGAACATTCGGTACCAAATGATATACTCAATTGATATTGACTGCAGCAGGATGAAATTCTCTGAGATCAGAAACAATAAAATGATGGAT